TCCTCTTCTTCTTTTGATGTTATTGATGTTCTTGAGTTAGGGGTCTAACCCAGGGTCTTACACATGCTAGGAAAGCATTTTACCAATCAACTACATCCTAAGCCCCTATGGTCTCCTCTTCTTAATGGGGTTTTATTAGGTTGTGTGGCAAAGGCTGGTTTTAAAAGACCTTTCTGCCTTAGCCCCTCCAAAAAGTAGACTATAAGTACAGTCCATTGTGCCCTGCTTGATGTTTATTTTAATGTATGTATGTATGTGTGTGTGTGTGTGTGTGTCTAAGAAATAAAAATCTGATGGCTCATTTTCAATTACAAATACCTTGAGTTAACTTAGCTCTAACTACAGATGAACAAGAAATACTGGGTCCCTAGGCTCTGGCAGGCTGCTAAATTATCTGCCCCCTCCCAAATTCTGCCAGTCTAGACACACACACACACACACACACACACACACACACAAAGATTTAGAGTAGAAAATTAAAAGCCAAGCTTCCTGCAAGGTCATTTGCTTGATAAGCTTTAAAATGAACAAGATGTAAAACAGTGATGAACCCACACACAGTTTTCATTGTGAAAAAGAAAAATGTGACAGAGGGAAAGATAAGATGTAGATGATATGTAAGATTACTCCTGATTACACAATCAAAGAGAAAAGGGAAGAAGGAGCTTGTTGTGTTAGGATTATAAAAATTATTCTCTGTGCTCAATCAGCATGCCCACTATTCTAAGTTAATAACTAGCTTTGCAAGCTCATAAAATAAATGGTCTCATTTCTTCTACTCTGAGTCTCCAGTACTCTTATTATGAAGTGAGGCTCCATGTTTCCCACAACACATATTGTACCTATGTACCTATGTACACAGCATCTCACTACATTGATATGGTTTGCCTAGAATTGGCCGGTCCCTTGCCTAGATTATCTGTGTAGCTGGGGTTACAGGCAGTAGTCAAGATTACAGGAAGACATCACCATATATAGCTAAGTGCTTTTTCTGAAATGAAAAATTGACATTACTCTTATTCTCTTAAAAATATTTTTACTTATTACCTTTCTTTTCTTCCTTCCTTCCTTCCTTTCTTCCTTCCTTTCTCTTTCTTTCTTTCTTTCTTTCTTTCTTTCTTTTCTTTCTTTCTTTCTGTTTACTTTTTGAGACAGGATTTCCCTGTAGCCCCAGCTGGCCTGTGTGTTAGACCAGGCTGGCCTCAATCTCACAAAGCTATCCACCTGTCTCTGCCTCTGCCTCTCAAGTCCTGGGATTAAAGAAGTGAGCCAGCATGTCTGGCCTCTTTCTTTTTAAGACAGAGTCTGAATCCATTATAGCCCAGGCTGGCCTTGTTAGTCACTCTGTAGATGACACTGGCCTCAATCATCTGATGATCCAATCTCTGCCTCCCCACTGCTGGCATTAGAGATATGAACTACCATACCTGACTTTATTACAATAATAACTATTTTCAAGTTTTTCTTGTGGTGCTGGGGAATCAGACCAGGGCCATGCCCGTTTCCCTTGCTTAAAATATTTTCCCCCAGTAATTAATAGATAAACTAAAAGTAAATTCAAGGTTTTCCAACAACCAATCGAATATTCTCTTTACTGTCTATATACCTGAAGTGGTTACCTATCAGAGGCTTCATTTGTAATCCTGCTGCCTCTGTAATCCCAAATGCTGATCGCAGGTATAAATCGCCATACTTTTGATTTGTCCACTGAGCCTTCCATTATTTCACCATATCTAAGAAAATTTTAAGTCAAAAAGCTAATTTTTGCTGGGTGTGAGCTACATAGCAAGCAAAGCCCCAGTCTCAAATGAAGAAATAAAAAGTCAATTTCTTTTTTTTTCCTTTTTTTTTTTTTTTGCATTTATGTGTATGTGTGTGCTTGCACAAGTTTATGTGCACTACACAAATGTAGGTGCCTGCTACAGGCAGTTACAGGTAGAATCACTTAACCTGGGTGCTCAGAACAAAACCCAGGTCCTCTGCAAGAGTAGTAAGCATTCTTAACTGCTGAGCCATCACTCAGCCCTCAACTGTGTTTCTTGATGTCCTAGCCATTTTATTCACGTATTCAAACTAATTAAACTTTAGCTACGAAATCAAGACCTTTATTGACAAATATAAGTTTATTATTGTATCATCTTGTTAACTTCTCCTGTCTTCACTGCCTCCTTCTTCAAACTCATAAACATCATACCAGTTCTGCTTTTGAAAACAGGCTAGTATTATCATGGAAACTTGTTGGATTTAAGGCAAGCATGATGGTACACACTATAATCCCTGTGCTTGGGAAGCTGAGGCAAGAAGACTGCTGAAAATTCCAAGTTGGCTTGGGCTACAGGGTGATACCTATCTCAAAAAACAAAAACAATCACCCCCAACAACATAAAACTATTGGACTCTGGGAAAGCAAAAGGCACAGCTTTTTTTTTTTTTAATTTTTACAAAAACTTTATTGTGAATTTCATACACGCATATAAGGTGTTTTGATCAAATCCATGCCCACTCCCTCCCCTCCAACATTCCCCCCTCGGAAGAGGTAATCCTAAAATCTTTTAAGAACTAGATACAAACTCCCAAATACTTTTGACATTTTTGGCCTTGGAATAAAGTATGTTGCTAACAGGCCCAAGGACATTTTGACTTTCAGCCAAGAAAATGGCTTACATTTCTTTGGGATCTTTTTTCCCTAACTGCCTAGCCAATTCCTACCTCCTATTCTTATCACACCATTCTCTGAAGAGGTTACCCAAATTGCCAATAGGGAATAAGGATGCCGACCGCTCTGGCTTCTTCCATGCTGAACAGGGATGTAGGGTGAGGCAATTGGAGTACCCCTTCAGTGGGTCTATCTAAAAGGACCCCAAATTGTATAACTCTTGTCTCTAAGGGAAGAAGAAAGTCCTTGAATCATGAATTGGCAATGTGAAGGAGAAGTAAAGGCAAGAGGAATTAGCATTACGAGTTCTAGACAGGGAACTAGAAAAAAGAACAGGGCAATTTCCAAATGTTCATATGGGAGTCCATTGGAGTTTCTTGAGAAGGGCCACACCTTATTTTTGGGTTCTCTCTCTGTGTCTCTGTCTCTTTCTCTAATTGTCTATCTATCTATATCTATCTCTCATTTATCATCTATCATCTATCTCTATTTCTATTTCTACCTCTGTCTCTCCTTTCCAGTGCTGAAGACAGAATTCAGGACCTTACACATGCTAGGCAATCACTTTACCAATACACTTCCATCTCCTTCAGTTGTTTTAGTTCTTTGTAATGATAGTTTGGGGGGGGAGTTAAGACCAATCCCATGTCAGATTTAGTCAATATGCAATTTGGCAAAACAAATCTGAATCAAGGAACTAAGAGAGTATTCTTGAGTACGTCTCTTTCTTTCCCTCCCAATCTCAACTCATGGTGTTCTTAGGTTTTAGAAAATCTGTATTGGTCAGGATTTTCCTAGAAAACAGAGCACAATGTGCATGTGTGTGCACACACAGGCATGCCTATATATGGGTTTTACACACACACACACACACACACACATATTGAGGATTGAACCTAGGGCCTCAAGCATGCTAGGCAGCCATTCTACCACTGAGTTATAGAAGTGTGTGAGTATATATATAATGTCTTTCTAGGTGTGATCTATCTTCCTTCCTCTCTGCCTACCCCCTCCATCCCTCCCCCTTTCTCTCTCTCTCTCTCTCTCTCTCTCTCTCTCTCTCTCTCCCTCCAGAATTTCATATATCCCAAGATGGCTCTATGTAGCTGAGGATGACTTTGAACTTCTGATCCTTCTGCCTCTACCTACTAAGTGTTAGGGTTACTGGAATGTGCCACCACACAGTTTTATGTGGTGCTGGGGATCCAAAGCCAGGGTTTTGTGCATGTTAGGCAAGAACTCTACCAATTAAGCTAAATCCCCAGCCCTAAAATGAAATTCTTGATATTCCTTACAATTAAAATCTCATAGAAATTAAATTCTAGGAAAGAGAAACACTGACACTTTAGAGATGTCTCTAACATTTCTATTTATTTTTACAATTTGTCACATATAAAATATAGTCAGTTTTTTTTTTTTTTTTTTTTTTTTTTTTTTTTTTTAAAAAAAAAAAAAAAAAAAGAGGACGATAAATCTTTCACTGTGATACCTGGAACTCACTATGTAGACCAAGTTGGCCTTGAACTCACAGAGATCCACCTGCCTCTGCCTCCCAAGTGCTGGGATTAAAGGCATCCGCCACCACACCCGGCTAGAACTAAGTTTTCTTTAGAGCTAAATTGGCTTAAACTTTATAACTATAATCTGTCAGGATTCTGTATGAGTACAACTTTTAAGATGCTCAGTTACCCTTAACAGTGGACTCCAGGTAAATTAAGCTTAAAGGCCTCTTCTGTTGCTTAGATTTGATTAAAAAGAGCCTTTCCATTACCCTTCCCCCCACCCCCGGAGAGAACAAGCTCTTTCAGAGACAAGGAAACTGTCAAAGTTGGATTGTCCTACCAAAAATCAGAGACTAGAGAGAGCTAAAGGCATCGTAGAAATGTTCTTATGCATGTTAACTTTCGTTCCACTAGGTGGAGCAACACATTTTACGGCCTTGGCTCCAGCTTGTATTCTGTTCTTGGTATTTCTTTCAGGTAGAGGCATGTGGCTACAGTTTTTACCTATAGGATTCTGGTATGATAAATTTAATCCACATTCCAATTTAGCTAGATAGAAGACACAGCTTCCCAAATCCCTCTAGACTAAGGAATGAATAAGAAAAGGGGGCAATCTTAAAGTAATCCTTAAAAACTAGAATTCCCTGCAGGAAATAGCATGCCCAGCATGAAAACAGCCAGCCCCAAGAACCCAGTTGCCAGTTGCCAGGCACCAGGCACCAGGCAAGACTTATTTCCCAGTTTCAGTAACTTGAGCCCACAACTAAATCTAAATATGTATTTTTCTTGGCTTTTGTGTCATCTTTTTATTTTTATTTTATTTTAATTTTAGAGACAATCTCTTGTGGCCCAAGCTGGCCTCGAATTTGCTATGTAGTTGAGGATGATCCTCCTTCCTACCTCTCTTAAATGCTGGGATTACCCACATTAATCACTGTGTCCAATCCTCCATCTCCTGATCCCCAACAGCTGGAATATGGGGCACAACAGAACACAGTAAGAGGCCTAACAGAGTGGCAGGGAAGGCCAAGAATTGGTGGGGTGGGCCAGGAAAGGTAGCAAGAGGAATAATAAAGATAGTAGGATTTGACAGTGGAAAGTGGAATGGCAAATTAGTAAGAATGGGAGAGGGATTGACCGACTGAAGGATGGGTCGAGGAAAGGGATGGTGGGGCAGGCCAGTTTGAAAGGAGAGGTGGAAAAAGCAGGGTGGCTTAGGGATCTGGGTATTGGGGTAGCTGTTAACTGCTATGGATTATGGAGAGATGCGGTGGAGCGGGCGAGGTGCACCGCGCATGCGCCAGAAACTGCAGCACTCCGGGAGAAGCTGTGGGTTCGTGGTATCAGTGCAGCGTCTGGAACTATAGCAGGTTTCTTGCCTTGTGTTCACTGGCTCTAATGCAGGCTGCTACGATTCAGGTACCTCTTTCTCTGTCCCTCCGCTGTCTACACTGCTGGCAGTAAGAATTCTTGCTACGACACTCGATTCAGCCAGGAGGTAAAGGAACGACTAAGGGCAAAAACATAGCATGGAGGGTGGCAGAGGGAATTTGGGACACAGGAATCCTTAATTTTGTGAATTTTCCCCTCTGACGGGAAGAAAAAAATGGAGGCTAATAAAAGCCCCAGCCCTCCAAAAGGATGGTTAGCATTTAAGTTAATATTATGAAAGGGATTTAGACTTTCTTTTAAGCATGTTTTGAGGCACCTGAACATCGCTGTTTTCCATGATGTTCTCTATTTTTAAAACTTTCGGGTTCCTCATTTGTTGCAGGTGTCTCTCAAGGCTGAGGCTTTAGGATTAGGCTTTTTTTTCCTCAGGGGGAGGGGTATTTTTGAGAACAAGACCAGAGAGGCCTCGAACTTAAAAACTTTAAGTCACCACACGCGGCTTTCTTCCAGTGCTTTAATATAAGAGATCTCGTTCCCTTTGTTTAGGTTGTCTGGTCTTACTGTATTACGTGGATCTGAGGGTCCTCTAGCTTCTCCTTTGGGGTCTGACAGACTTCATCTAGATCTAGGATAACGCCTTTCCCATATTCAACATATCTAGTTTATCAGTTAATTCTATTAGGGAAGGTAGGTAATGATTCTCTTTGGGGCATAACTGTGACGAGAAAAACGTGCAGATACCATTCGACATGTACATCTAACATATTTTAAATATATATACATACATACACGCATACGTATCTAAAAAACTGAGGGGAGAATCAGAAAGACCGGCATGTTGCGTGGCCTTTAATATCCAAAATGAGGCTCCACAGCACCAAGTGGTGGCGCTCCAGTACTGTTGAGAAAGCCTGACACGAGGGGAGGGGCTCCACGGGCGGAGGGGACCGAGGTACCTTGGGTAGGGTAGAGGAGCGAGATCAAACCACGCATGCTCATTGAAGTAAAGGCGCCAGCAGCGCGGGAGTCAAGGTGCGCATGCGTAGGTGAGAACTTAGTGTCCATTGGCGTTTAAGGGCAGGAAGGAGAAGTACGCCTGCGTATTGCCAATAGCCTGGCTGGGCGGGAGGGAGGCGCACAGTGTTCTGGTAATTAAGGTTACGAAATGACGAGGGATTCGGTAAGTTGTCTTTCGCCCAAATCGCCATCTTGGGCTTGGAGGGCCTGCAGAGAAACATATCTACCTCTCTAACGGTTGAAGGGGTCAACCTCATTTGGGATTTGTCCTAGGCGGTGGTCAAACCCACTGAAAATTACCCCAGATTATTAGCTTCTCACTGGCCTGATAATAGGAGCTTCAAAATGTATAAGAGGCAGTGTAAAAGGCTTCAGCGCAGGTTGTGGGGAATGTGGCAGAAGATAGAGCGGCCACGTTTACCACATCCAGACAATACAGATTTGAAAGGCTGCTGGAGGCTTGTGCCTTGCGGATCTTGCTCTCGTCCCACCGGAGTAGCAGAACATAGTGAACTGCAGAGGCACGCCACTGTCACGATGGCCTAAAGTCCTTGGTTTTTCTCCCTCACAGAACACAGGTCTGAGCATTTGACTGTCTTTCTAAATGCTTATTACGTTGCTTGTAGCCTGATTTGGACAAATGGCCCTCTGAAACTCATACTGAGATGCAGAAAGACTGAAAATTAATGGCAAAAGTCGTATGAAGGTGACCTGGGCTTATGCCCCCCACCTCCCACCCCCGGGTCTCTGAACTTTGCTTCATTTGGTCCGGGCAAAAGTTGGGAGATTGGAGGGTATTTTGTTTTTTCTTTTCTCTCTTCTCTTTCTCTCTTCTCTCTCTCTCTCTCTCTCTCTCTCTCTCTCTCTCTCTCTCTCTCTCTCTCTCTCTCTCTCTCTCTCTCTCTCTCTCTCTCTCTGTTGAACTGCGTGGCTCTGAGGCCTGCAAAGTGAGAATTTACTGTTATTTGGTAAAACTATTAACAGTATTTAGATACAGGTATGTTCTGGAAAGTATACAGGGTTTTAAATTATAGCCAACTGAATGGCTGAGACTGGACTTTTTCTCCAGGTTGTATTGGTGCAGAAGTCCTGTGCTTTTAAACATGCCTTATCCCCTAAAATGAAGGGGCATATTTAAAGGAATTATTTCAATTTTGCCTGAAATCATAAAATTTAACTAAAGCATTAAGGAGAGTTGTTCACTTCTTTTAGCTCAGTGCATAGTATTTGCTCACACATATGGGAGACAAAAAGTAAAATATTGTTGATTTGAAACCTTAAGGGGGTGCTAACTGTACAGTTGTCTTGTGCATTTTTTGTTCTGCAGAGAGCACAAAATGGCCGACTGCAGCAGGCTGGACACACCCATGTTTTTGCCTGGTTTGTTATCTGGTCTGAGGATCTAGGGAAATCAGACTTTGGTACAGAAGACATTTTTAAAAATCCTATTATTGATATTTTGCTGTGCTGATTCAAATGTCTATTGTCAAGGAAAAATTTTTTGTTAGTAATATAAGACAAAAATACAAATTGTATTATCTATTTAGAATATATCCATTGAAGTGGAATTAATACATAAAATGGTATGAACATTTTAACACTTGATAAAATTGCCATATTCTTCCCCAAAAGGTTGTGCCAATTTTTACAAAGAAGTATTGAGTGTTTTCAGAATATGCTTAGATGAGAACATAGTGAATAAAACCAGCCCTTTTTTTTTTTTCATTTTTTGGTTATTGGTGAGATTAAATTTTTTTTCTAGGAATTTTATTTTTGTTAATGTGATACTTCATATATTTATCTAACTACTTCATTTTGTTTGCCTTTTCACTACTGTTTTAAAATTTTGGGTTAGTAGTAGAGATTGGAAGCCACATGATCAGATGTTATTTTTTTCTTCCATTCTTTACATCTAAATAGGTTTCCAAAACAAGAAATTAGATATTCGGTATTCGGTGTAGGTTTATCTCTGGATAACCATCCAGAAAAAAAAAAAAAAAGATTATAACTTTACCACCCAGAGATAACTAGTGTTAATAAATTTGTTAACTAGTTTTCCTTCTCTCTGTAGTCATCTTCACAATTGATCATATATGTACTGTTGTATGTATTTTTTGTTTAATGTACCATGTACATTTCCATGTTGAACAGTTTCTGTCATTCAATGGTTTCATGCTATTCTGTTATGTAGAAGTATTTTAGATTTTTTTAGTAAATTATGTCATAAAAATCTTCATTTAGCTTCTATTCATTTTTCTGTTTCTTTTTTAGTATTATTGTGCATGTCTAACAGTGCATGTGCCACTGTGTGTGTGTGTGTGTGTGTGTGTGTGTGTGTGTGTGTGTGTCGGCCCACACTTGTGTAGCTCAGAGAACAATATTTGCATTACACGCTTGCATAAGTGCCTTTACCTACAGAGCCATCTTGCCCAGTTTTTTTCTGTCTTTATCAAGTTACAGAATTAGAATTATTCCACATTTGAACATTATAAGCAATTGCTTTCCAAAAAATTACATCAGTCTTTGTGCCCAGTCATTTCAGCCATTTAGGCACTTAATTTTTTTTCATTTTTTGCTAACTTCATATGTAAAAGAATACATAAATTATAGTAAAATTATATATTTATGCTTTATTTTTGAGACAAGATCTTGGGTATCCCACTCTGGCTTCAAACTTGATATGTAACTGAGGATGATTTTAAACTACTGATCCTCCTGTCTTTCCCCTAATCCCCCATTATAAATATATGGTAACACTCCCAGTTCTTATTTTTCTTTTTTTAAAAAAAGATATATTTTAGGCTGGAGAGGTGGTGGAGAGATGACTTAGCCGGTAAAGTTGCTTGCCACCAAGCCTGATGAACTGAATTCGATTTTCAGGACTCACAGAACCCATTCTAGCAAGGTGCCCACTGACCTTTACCTCTGCTCATAATGTCACACATGCACATACACTAAATAAATGTAATAAAAAATAATGACATATTTTTGACTATTGGTAAGGCTGGGCTTTCAGATCTTTTGGGGGGGGGCTGATATTACAGGCATGTACCATTGTGACTGAACTTTTTTTTTTTTTTCTCAAGTCTTAAACTATTATTATTTTGGTGCTGGGGTTTAAACCCAGGTCCTCTTGTCAGATCTTATCGTTTATTTTATTTTATAAATTATTTTATTTGGGCCCATAAAATTTGTGATTTGTAAACAGCTTGTCATTTTGTGCAATTATACTGATATGTGTTTGTTGCTGCTGAAGAAATGTAATTTTAAGACAACTCTTGTGTAGATACTGTCAGCCTCTTGGTAACCATTTTGAGATATTTTCTTTTTAAATGGGTAGGCTTTTTTTTTAAAAAAAAAAAAAAAACAAGGTCTTAGTGTGTAAGTCAGGTATGCCTCACCCTTTCCAGTGTCACAACAGTTGGCCAGGAAAGCACTTTTGAATGCTGGAGAGAAATGGTGAGACCTGGGTGTGGATGTGGGGAGAAGACATGGCAACCCAGTTATAATAACCCAATTTAGACAAAACAGTAGTCTCCTTCATCCATTCAAGGTCTGATCTTATTTTAAATAATTATGAGTTGTGTGGCCAATAGTGAAATGTCCACGTTTATAGGTAATATTAAGGGCTTTGGGGCTATATATCAACAACTGAGAAAGCATAGTGAGGGGACTGGCAGATGAGTGGAACAGTATAGGCAAGAACAGTGACTTTAGGAGGATATAATAAGTTTATAAAATAATGAACTCAAAGAGATAGTGGGTCCCAAAACAGGGGTCTGAGTATAACGGCCAATAAATAAACATGTTGATGCCATTTGTCGAGTTTGCTAGTGCAGGCCTTGTGCTGGCAAGGGGTCTTAGTGGGTAAAGGTTCTTGGCACCAAGCCTTGATGACCTGAGTTTGATCCCCAGGACTCATGGTGAAAGGAGAGAACCGAACCCTGCAAGTTGTCCTCTGATCTCCACATGCACACCTTGGCACAGGTACAGACAGAAATAATTCAAAAAACGCTGTCTCATTAAAAATGTAGGAGGGTGGGACATTGTTCATTTGGCAGAATGTTTGCCAAGCATGCACAAAACCCTGGGTTTTATCCTCAGCACAGCATAAAACCTGATGTGGTGCATATAGTTGTAATCAAAGCACTTAGGAGGTAGAGACAAGAGGGTGGGGATTTCAAGGCCATCCTCAGCTAAATAGTGTGTTTGAGGCCAACCTGAGCTACATGAGACCCTTCCTGAAAGAAAAAAGAAAATAAAGAAAAAGAGAAAATTGTGGAAACTAGGTGTGGTGGCACATTCATATAGTTCCAGCACCGAGGCGGGAGGATTGCTGTGACCGAGTTATAGCAAAACCTTGGCTTAAAATACAAAAGAAAAAACTGGTATGGGACACAGAAAAATTCCACCTTGTCTTTGCAAAACCATCTGACCAAATAACGTTTTTTTAGAATAAGAATTTCTTTTTTTTTTAATAAAACACAAGATTTACAGTTCGAGTCAAGTTATACAAAATGGTCACAAGTCTTGGGGTTTTTTGGAGGGTGGGGTGGGGAGGGGGGTAGTCTACACTTGATAGTAAAGTCGCATGTAATTAGTGAAGGCTGTAACGTTTAATGTTTCCCTTTTGGTTCAGTCAAGCTTTGCTATCTACCAGAGTCTAAGTAGTTAAAGTTGGCTAGAAGAGCATACTGTAAAGAACTGCTTAGATGCTTTTAAAAACAGAAGCAATTAGAGCACTACAAAAAGGGAGGAAAGGAGCCGAAAAAATTAAAATTACCTTTTCCCTCATAAAAACTAAACAAAAATGCCATATTCCTGCTAACCCCTGACTACTACCTAAAATGACAGTACTTAATACTTAAAACTACGATGGGAGAAATTAATAAAAGCAGAGTGGCACTGCTTTAAACGTTATGCAATACTGCATTTGTTCGCCAACGGATCTTCTGGATTAGAGCAGTTAACAAAAAAGCCACGATCCACAGCAGAACTGCGGATCTGCAGTGCTGGAGGTCACTTATCTTTCAAAAATGTAAATGTTTTTCCCCAACTTGTCTATTAAAGTAATACAATTTGGTCATTAACTATACTTCAGATGCTGCCATTGGCATTTCTGCAATAGTTCACTTTAAAAGTACCCGTTTCAAAGGTGGAATTCTGAGGGCCAGCAGTGACCACGTAAAAATAGCAGCAGTGCTCTCGGCCCCTCCCCACCCCACCTCCCCTTTGGGTATATTTTGAGGCAGTGAACCCTTGACCCTCCTGCCTCCACCTCCTAAGTGCTATCTTCTGGTTCTGCTTTAATTCCAGAAACTGGTTCTGCCAGCAAATGCTGCTTTTCCTTAAAGGTCCCGGTGAGGAGGAGCTCGGCCATCTTGTCTGCTCTTCAGTTGGACCGCTGTTGTGGCCTTTGGCACCGCTGGCCTCCCGGTAGTGGAAGGCCCGCGCTACACGTCCGGGCGGGCTCCTCCACTGCCGCCGCGCCGCTTGGGAAATGTAGTCTTTGGACATTGGCGGGCTTCGGCGAGCCCCTTCTCCCGCGCGCGCCACACGGAACCTGGGTGGGGAGACGGAAGTGACGTGCCGCGGGGACGTGGGGGAGGTGGCGTGGAACTGGCGCTAGGCTGTCCTGGCTGCGCCTGATGTGGGATTTCCAAATAACTGTTAGTGGTAATCTCTGGTCGAGGAGTCTCTTATTATTACCCAGTTTTGAAAAACGGGGTGAAAGTATGTTCCTTGTTTCATTTTTATGTGCAGGTGAATTAGATGTTCCCAGACCTTGTGGAATGGATGCAGATTATTCACCAATCCTTAAACTCGGTGTTACTTCTGGTTTGTAGTTTGCTTAATTAGGTTTGTTAGATGAAGCGTCCTTTCCTATACCCCATGTTTCATATATTTTGCATCTAATTTTCTTTTTTCGGACAGTTTAATGTAGTTCAGGATGACTTTAGCTATGTAGCTGAGGATAGCCTTGAGCTTTTGATCCTTCTGCCTTCACTTCCCCAGTGATGGGTTTGCAGGTGGCACTACTAGGTCCAGCTTTTATTGTTACATTCTCAATATGTGACTCTGGCAGGTTTGGTGGTCCCTATGCAGCCCACGCTGGTCCCCGACTTGTGTGGATCTTCCTGCCTGAGCTTCAGGTTTGTCCCATCTGACTCTTCTTTTTCAGAGAAGGGTGGGTATTACGAGATTTAGAAGTACCAGCTGAGTTTAGTTGTTTTCAGGTACTTATACTGGCTTAATGTAGTTAATTGCAAGCCTATTTTTCAGCATTTTTCTAGGTATACATATTATTAAACGGGGCTTGTGTGGTGGAGAGATTGGGAGGTATATAAACAAAAAAACAAGGTGGGGGGAGGCTCATTTTAGAGAAGGTGGTTGAAAACATCCTTTTTGGAACTCTGCTTACCTTAAGCATAGAAGCCCTTGCCAGTATCTAGTTCTTCAATCCAGCTATGAATAAGGGATTAAGGAGAATGTGGATTTATTTGAAATACCCACATCCCAAAGCATTTAACCTTGGATTTCTACAATTTGGTCTCTCCCTCTCGATGTTGCAGCCCCCAGCAGCCTGGAGCAGCACACCCTGGAAAGAAACTTTGCATTGACCATTATAATACAACCTGATAAGTATGGCAGCACTTATTGGATTGGATTGTAATTGTCTGTGTGCATGCCTGTCTGTCTTGCTGTGTTCTTAAATTAGATTGTGCAACCTAGGCAGGGAAAATGTCATTTCCAGAGCCCAGCCTGGCACATTAGTAGGTTTCACTAAATCCTTATTCATGAATAAATGAATGAATCATCAAGAAACATTTATTGTGTGCCTGCTAAAGTGATTTTCATAGGTACTTACTTGACCCTCAGCTGTTTCTTCAAAGAGCTTATTATGGTCAGAAACTTGGTATTTCGTTCTAGTTATATATGTATTTTCTCTACATTTTTCATGAGGCAGTGTTTGGCTTTCCGGCTTTGGTATTTGTACACGTTTATATTCTTGGTAATGCTGACTTCTGCTTCTTTGGTGGGACCCAGTACTAGTTGCCTGAGCCTTCCTCATGGCCCCTGTGTTTGCAATACGGTTCCTGTTTGTTGATTTCATTCCCCTTTCACTTCACCACAAGTCATCCTCCAAATAGTATTCTTGCATAGGACTCCACATTTAGTCATTTTTAGGGTCCTGTGTATAAACTGTAATCCATGGGCTCCCCATTTTTGCAAATACATTTGTTGAAATACAGCCATCCTTATTTCATAATGTTTTTGTCCCAGGCTGTTACCAGAGATTCTTTTTAGCATTTTAGAAATTAATTATTAAACAAGGCATGGTGGCTCACACCTGTAATCACAGCACCTGGAGGCTGAGGCACGAGTCTTTAGGACCCTGGCTCAAGAAACCAAAAAAAAAAAAACAAAAAAAAAAAAAACACAAAACAAAAAACAACCCCAAAAACCCAAAAATCCAACTGCATGTGAAAAGTCTTTTATATTTTATAGATATGCTAGGAGGTTTTAAGGTCTCCCTGTAGTTACTACATTGTCCTTCAGACTCTTGTTTTGATCACCCCCCCCCCTTTTTTTTTTCCTTTCTGGAAGAATAGTTTATTGAGTACACCAAAAGGGAGCAGTGAGCTGGGCAATAAGTAGAAGAGACCTACTGGCTTACCTTCTTTTCATGAATACCCCTAATAATGATTTAAGGCATGTAGACATGGTGTATCTAGATGCCTTCCCTCTTGCCTCTTTCCTGCCCACATAGTTCTTTGCAGGGAGACTAAGAGGAGATGGAAGCGAGGGATTTGCACATGCCAGACATGCTAAAACTACTGTACCACACTGATGTACAAGTTACTCCTGTACAGGGAGTTCTAATGTTTTTGTTTGGGGGCTTTTTGTTTCCTTGAAAGCTTCTTACAGCCCTGGCCTAAGTTTACCCTGAACCTCTGATCCTGCTGCCTCTGCTTCCTAAAGTCTAGGATTACAGGCTTGCCTCACCTTTCAAGTTTTGTTTTATTTGCTGCTGGGGATGCAACCCAGTGCTTCATGCATGTTAGGCAAGCACTTTACCAATTGAACTGCATCACCAGCCTCCCGAGCCCCCCCCCCCTTTTAGCCTTGGCTGATCATGAACTCTTAATCCTCTTGCCTCAGACTCCCAAAGTACTAGAGTTATAGTTATGGGAAGTTAATTGCACTACTTTTTCTTAATGTACTAATTTTTCATGTTTAAATTCTTATTCATTTATTTGTTTTTTTTGTTTTGTTTGAGACAGGTTCTCACTATATAGCCCCTGCTGGCCTGTAACTGGCAATGTAGACCAGGGTGGTCTCAGACTCACAGACATCTGCCTGCCTCTGCCTCCCAAGTGCTGGGAATAAAGGTGTGCACCACCATACCTGGCTTAATGTACTAATTAAGTGAGAAATCTGAAATAATTCTCTAATTCAGGTTTGTTCAGCTAGCCAGCCTGGATTTCTGAGTTTTTAGATATCTTCTCTGGCTTCCCTAACCACAAATACATTGTTTTGGTAATCTGCCTAGGAGTCCTTTGTGATTGATTTCACGCCATTGAAAAATAAAAGAGCTCTAAATCAAATGCAAGAATTTGAAATTTAAATTCTGCCTCAGGGTAGAGCTTTGAAATTCAACTCTGTGAGGCCCTGAATTAGATCTCTAGCACCATCAGCAAACATCAAAGCCCCACTCTAAATGGGATTGAGATTCAGGATCTGGGTCAGAGTTAGAGTACCATGGTGTGCTTGTAGAAAGCCTTCCACACACAAAAAAAAACAAAAACAAACAAACAAAAAAAAACCTGGAGCAAACCTTGCTTAGGCTCACTGCTTATATTGTGCTCATTCCAGGAATAAAATGGAAGGACAGCCCTTACAGAATTTCCCCCCAGCATTCTATTATAAAGATTTTCTTTTTTAAAAAATATTTTATTATGCCAGGCGTGGTGACGCACCCCGGTAGTCCCAGCACTTGGGAGGCAGAAGCAGGCAGATCTCTGTGAGTTCAAGGCCAGCCTGGTCTACATAGTGAGTTCCAGGACAGCTCAGGCTACAGGGAGACCCTGTCTCAAAAAGACCAAAAAAAAAAATGTTTTTTATTTTTATTCTATGTGTATGAGTGCGTTGCCTGAATGTAGGTAAGTGCACCCGAGTCCTGCAGTGCCCATAGAGGTCAGAAGAGGCCGTCCGTCGGATCCCCTGGGACTGGAGTTACACACAGTTGTTAGCTGCCCTGTGGGTGCTGGGATTCAAACCCGGGTCTTCTACAAGAATAACCAGTGTTCTTAACCGCTGATCCATCTCTCCAGCCCCTATTATTTTTATTTTATGTGTATTGTCTGCATGTATGTGAGTGCACCCATATCATGCAATGCCGTGGAAATCAGAAAAGGGCTTTGACTCCCCTGGAACTGGAGTTAAGGACAGTTCCGTAGTCCCATGTGCGTCAAACCCAGGTCCTCTGCAAGAGCAGTCAATGCTCTTAACCACTGGGTGGTCTCTCTAGCTCCTATTATAAAGGTTTTCAAGTACCTGCATACAAAAGAATTAGATAGTGAAAAGTCATATGTCTGCTGCCTACCTACATTTAGAACGAGCATTTTACTGTATTTGCTTTATTATATTAATTTGTTTTTGTTGGTTAGGTTTTAAAAGTACTATTACCTATTTTAATCTCATTTGTATCAGACTCATCACGATGCTGAAAAATAGGTTTTTTTGATTCTGACCTGTGTCTTCAATCTGAGATGACTATCAGCACAGCCTTGGCAAATCCACCAAGGAAGGATTACAGTTGCAGGGAAAGGAACTATGTTGCTTTTGAAAGAAAGAAGACTGGCCTCAACTCATTGTTCCCTGAAAATAGGAAGGTAAAAATACTTATCTGGTTTGGAGCAAGTAGTTCCTAAACCCTTTCTATAGGATTCTGTGCTTTAAGTTTTGATAGAGGTAAGTGCCCACAACAATCACCAAAATCAACATGCAAATGCCATTGAGGGGCTATTTAACATTAGCATAACTTTGAATTCTAGCAAAGGGATTTTAAATTTAGATGACTGTCTAATGGTCTTCTTTTAACCCTTTTACTAACAGCTATTGTTTCAATTAGAAAAAAGCAACATGAGCCAGAATCTTGAGGATTTTGGGGTTTTTTTGTTGTTGTTGTTGGTGGTGGTGGTTGGTTGGTTGGTTTTTTTGTTTGTTTGTTTTTGTTTTTGTCTTTTTAAGACAGGGTCTCCCTGTAGTCCCAGCTAGCTGTTAGCTGTCCTGGAACTCACTATGTAGAGTTCATCAGGCATGTGCCACCATGCCTAGAACTGTTTATTTTTTTCAAATCAAGTATTGTTAACTCTGTATCCTTAATTTAAGTGGAAAGTCAAAACTCATGTTGTAGTCACCTTTTAATTTTTTTTAGGCATAAAGGTTTATATGCATTATTATATATATATATCACCAAATATGTGCTTATGGATATATAAAAAAATTTGGGGATGGGCATGTTTACAGTTTTGATAGCAGTAAATAATGGAAAACCTGTTCATAAATAGGAATTTGGTTAAATAACTTTTGGTGTGTTTATGCAATATAACAAAGCAAGTAAAAATAAAAATAGTCTAATAAACTGGGCATTATGGCATGGGTCTGTAATCCTAGAATTTGGGACATAGCGGCAGGAAAATCAGGAGTTAAGAGCCATCTTTGACTATATAGTTTAAGGCTAGCTTGCAATACCTGAGACCCTGTCTAAAAACAAAAGGTTTTATGGATGAATATTTGACTTGGAAGATGTATACATTATAGTAACTTAAAGAAAAGACTAGAGAATAATATACTTTGTTCTAATTTTGGAATATCAGAACTCATGTTTGCTCTTCTACTTGAAAGTTGTTGGAAAATTATACCATGCTTATTCCACTTCTTGGAATTCTGGATGATTTTGTTTTTGTCCTCCCTATAGTTGTAGAACTTTTGTGTTGTTTTACAGGACACTGAGCAAGACCATGCACATATTCAGCATGGTACTCCAATTCTGACCCAGATCCTCATTCTCAAACCTCAGTAGGGTAGGACTTTTTTGTTATTTGGCAGTGGTATTAGGGTTCTAACTCTGGACCCGAGACACCTGAACTACCTGAGGCAGAGCTTGTTTAAGAGTTTAGCTTCCTTGCATTTGATCACTTTTTAATGCACTGATACCAACAGAAGTGAACAAAATAGGGTTGGTCCGAAACATGGAGGGTGATGTAATTTAGTCTGGGTAAGAGCTTGGTGGGGCCTGGATGAAGGAAGTGATGGAATTAGGATTCCTATTTTCAGGGAAAGGCACCACCAGACCAGAGTCCAGTGCAGGCATTTTGTAGATAAGAGTTCATACTTCATATTTATTTTCTAGTGAGATTGGGTGTACATTCTGCCTTCTCCCTCCCTATTGCTTTAGGTTTTAAACAAGTTATAATAATTAGGAGTGGTTATGCAGATCTTGGTCCAGTTACTGACAGCTTATTAATAGGCTGGGCTTTGAACTATTACTGAATTGCCAGGTTTAGAGGTTACCTTTCATGTTAAGCAGCTAGGGACTAAAAACATACAAGAGAACAATAGGATGCCTCTTTAAAACTGAGGAAACTTGGGGTCTTTGATTTTTCCTGTGAAGTCTCACCTCTCAATTCTTCCTGCAATGATGAGACTCGGAGATAGGGGACTAGTCACTTGTCTGTCTAGTTCTTTCATATAACCCAGGCAGCTTCTATTTTTCACTTATTCCACAGATGCAAAGGTCAGTTGTCTAGGTGGGAGCTGAAATTGTAAATGGCAAGGCTTGGTCTAGAACTCGGAGTTTTGTGAATCACATGTCATCAGATGCTGATAACTAGAAGGGTTTTTGTTTGTTCATTTGTTTTTTTACATTTCGAGTTTTTGTTTTTGGTTTTTAAAGATAGGGTCTAACTGCGTTGATCAGGCCTGCCTCGAGCTTTCAATCCTTTTGCCTCAACCTTTTGAGTGTTGGCGATTACAGGCCTATAGCATCACATCTGATGATGGGGAACTGTTTGTTGTTGTTGTTGTTTTGTTTGTCAGGAATGTAGAATGTAAGTTCATAAACTGCCAGACATAGGAAGATGGCTAAGGAGTCAAGCTTGCCCGTCCCATTCAATGACAGGGCCAATAAAATCTCAGTGGAAAGGTTGGAACCAAATTAAGAATGTCAGCATCAGTATTCACATTATAGTTCCTACTGCTTGGTATAGTTACTTGTAGTACCTCTCTACCCAAATTATCCTCTTTACTTTTTTACTTTGCAGGATATTATGCATGCTTGGTAAGCAGACTAACACTGATCTCCAACCCCTAGCATTTAGGGTTGTTTTCTTTTGCGATACACCTGGCCTCCAACTAAGTATCCTCCTGTCTCAGCATCCAGAGTGCTGGGATTACAGACCCATGCCACCATGCCTATCCCAAGGTAACTTACTTTGAAATTTGTGAGTCCATATTTAGTAATAATCACAGGTCTTGAAATAGATTTTTAAAAATATTTTATTATTTTTATTTTATGTGTATGCGTGTATTGCCTGCATGTAAGTAAGTGCACTCATGTCTTGCAATGCCCGCGGAGAACAGAAGAGGCCATCAGATCCCCTGGAACTGGAGTTACGGATGTTGTTAGCTGCCATGTGGATGCTAGGATTTGAACCCAGGTCTTCTGGAAGAACAGCCAGTGTTCTTAACCGGTGAGCCATCTCTCCAGCCCCGAAATAGTTTTTACTAGATAAAGAACATATTGTAATGTTACTGTGAATGCTTAGCAAGAGTGAAATATGAGTTCTGCTGTGCTTAGTGGCTCATGCTTATAATTCCAGAGCTCAGGAGGTTGTGGCAAGAAAGTTGTCACCAGTTAGAGGCCAGTCTGGGCTTACATAGTGTGTTTAGGCCAGCCTGAGTTGTATAGCAAGACACTATCTCAACAACAACAACAAAAAAATTAGGAGAGCAACCCTAATTAAACTTATGTAAACACACACACACACACACACACACACACACACACACACACTAAACAAGCATGATAGATGAAATGAAAGTAGGAGGAGGATTTGATGGGAAGAAAGAGTTCATGGAGAGAGAAAGGAACTGAGAGAATAATGAGGGGTTGAATATGAACAAAATACGTATACATGTGTGAAAGTGTCAATTTAAAAATTATTAAAAAAGGAAAAACGGGATATTGAAAAGTGTGCTGTTTTTATTTATAAAATTATTTATTTATTAGTGCTAATGAATAAATGGAAACATTGCTTCTTAACATTGAAACAAAATTACTCTGGCAAAAGAGAGGGGTGGGAGGTGAGGTCTATAGCATGGCTATATAGATGGCTAAGGTAGTGAAAATAAAGGTCAAACTGAATTTCAAACCTTGACTCGTCCATCTTACATTTGTTTCTTCCCCCTATCCTCAGGTGATCCTGTCAGAAACTATGCTGTTTGTGAAGTGATACATTGAGCCCTGCTGGTCCAGTGAGGTTAATAGACAATTAGGCTACGTTTGGTTTTCAAATCATGGTAAAATCCTGGTAAGTGATTCAGTGGCTTTATTTCGTGTGCCTAGTTAATGAGAAGGTGGTCGTAATAGGCATCAGACAATTACTTCACACTTACCCATTATCAGAAAACAGGTTAAATTTATTCAGGCTGTACTAAAGTAATAAAGAACCTAACCTTTTGTCATTTTTCCATTTTTACAAATGGGGGAATTAGAAATTGCCCAAGATTATGGTTAGTTGTGTAGTAGATGGATTAGTTCAATCTTGAAATAATTGATTGCCCAGTAAAAGATTATTATCATAATTTTTTTTTTTTTTTTTTTTGGTCTTTTTGAAACAAGGTCTCTCTGGAACTCGCTGTATAGACGAGGCTGGCCTTGAAACGCATAGAGATCTGCCTGCCTCTGCCTCCCAAGTGCTGGGACTATAGGTGTGTGCCACCACACCTGGCAAGATTATTATCATTTTAAAGATTATTACTAATTTGGTTTTCTGAGACACGGTCTCAATATGTAGTCCAGGCTGATCTCAAACATGGTAGTTCAGGTTAGCCTCAGGTCCCAAGTGCTTGAATTATAGACATGAGCCACCACATCTGGCTATAATAGCTTCTGAGATCATATTTTCCTGATGACTGAAATTACCATGCTACAAAATTATGCATCAAATCATCTGGGATGCTTGCTGAACGTACAGATTGCTGGGCAGCCAGAAACCTTGTCATTGATCAAGAGTGAGATCTTCCTGTCACTGCCTGTCATTTATATGGAGGCTCCCTGCTCCAAGAGTTCACCAGTGTGTCGGGATGAATCACTGTTTCCGTGGATGTCTTTAGGAGGCAGTTGGATAGCTTTGGTAAATTGCTAGCACTTTTGGTGAAGTTTCCCTTTTAGTAGAAAAGAGAAAGGAACCGTGTGACACTTTCAGCCTTTTTTCAACAGATACTTCCTAAGTATTAAGAGATTGTTCTGGGTATTAACAAAGTCATACCATTATGGGACATTTATTTTTTTGTGAGAAAGGACAAAGGAATAAATACCTAGTAAATGTATAATGTATCATAAGTGTTAGATTGGATTTTTCCCTTTATGATATAAAAATTTACATTGAATGAAGTTAGCCTGGCATAGTGTCTTAAGCCTGTCATCTCAGCAGGATTGAGGCAGGAGGATTGTGAGTTTAAGGCTAGTTTGGGCTATGTAGTAAGACCCATCTCAAAGCAACAACAAAATAATGGAATTAAACTAAGCAGTATCTTGTATTTTCTTATCTTCTCACTTTCTTTTCTGTTTTCTATCTGTTCTTTCTTTTTGACAGGGTTTCTATGTTGTTGAGATTAACTGGGAACTCACTTTAGGCCACGATGGCCTCAAATTTGGTGTTTACCACCATGTCTACTCCTATTCTCTCTTTGAGTACCTGCTACTGTCTATACATGCAGTGGAGGCTGACCCAGGAGAGTGGGGGGAAGCTATAGACAGGCAGAAGAAAAAAATAATCTTTTTTGTTACTCCTCTTTTGGCTGGATTATAAATGATTTTTAAGGGTTTGTTTCTTTGTTTCTTTGTTTTTCTGGTGTTGGGATTCTTACCTAGGGTCTTGGACATACTAAGCAATTACTCTGCTATTGAACTACGCTTCTGGCTCTATGGAAGATAACTGAAAAGTGTTTTAGGGTTCACCATATGTGATGAGTGAGTGACCTCAAAAGAGAAGAGGAGGAGACTCCTCTCAGTGATAAGGTAACACAGTAAGGTAAGTAGATAAAGAAGATGAAGAAAGGCTGACTTTGACCTCACTTCCTGTCAGGGAGGGTGGTAGAAATGCCGCTTCTGAGCACAAGTCATAGGCCTACAGTTCCAAAACCTGTACCTGACACTAGTATATGCCTTTCTCAAAATGGTTTAGGTAGAACATCTGCTTACCCAGTCTGTGATCACCACTGCTGAGGGTCAGAAGAGACAAAATGGCTCCCAAGTAAGCCAGGTGGTAGACACTCTTGGTTTTGTTTTTGTGTTGTGGATTGTACCCAATCCTCATGTCTGTGTTTTACCCCTGAGATAGATATACTACCAGCCCCCAAGGTTTTCATAAAGTTTTGTTGGCACATAGTTGTTCATTACTGCCCATGTCATTTTGTGCCACAGCACAGCTAAGTGGTTATAATAGACTGTGATCTTCAGAGCCTGGAATATTACCATCTGGCCTTTTCAGAAACTTTTGCCATCTCCTAGCATAGGTTAAACCCTTCTCCATTTTCATTCTCCAACAATATGAAATAAGTGTGCTTTTGAATTTCTTCCCATGAAAATTAATCTCAAGAAAGTACATTGACACTGCTGAGTATGGTGGTGTACCTCTATAATCCCACTACTGAGGAGACAGATGCAGAAGGAGCAGTAGATAACGCCAGCCTCAGCTAATGAGACCCTCTCTAGAAAATAACATATATGCCTTATTGTAGCCATTTCTCCTATTTCTCTTTTCTTTAGAGAGATACCTTTAAATCCAGTCATTCATGAGTTTTAACTTAATATTTACATTAAAAAAAAATTTTTTTTTTGTCTTTTTGAGACACGGTCTCCCTGTAGCCCCAGACATCCTGGAACTCGCTATGTAGACCAGGCTGGCCTTGAACTCACAGAGATCCGCCTGCCTCTGCCTCCCGAGTCCTGGGATTAAAGGCATACGCCACCACGCCTGGCTACATTTTTAAATTTTTTAAAATTATTTATTTAATAACCATATAATTAGAAGAAGCATTTCATTACAACAGCATTGACATATTCAATAACAATTGCCTGAGCTAAGATGCATCTGTTTCAAAATTAGCTGTAAGTTTTTAGGTTTACATTGAATTAATACGGTTATACAATATTGTACTCTGTATAAACCCTATAAGACATAAAATTAAATGA